TAACAATTAATAACAATAACAATTTATAACAATTTTACTATACAGGGGGTGCATTCGGGGAGACGCTATTAACGCTATAAACGCTAACGCTATGAACTTCGTTTGAGGAGCCAATAGCGCGATAGCGATAGCAAACTCCCCGAACGCAGCTTAAGCGCCAATAGTACTTCGTGCCTCACCTCGAAAATAATAGCGAAAATAGCGCGAGTGATGACGTCACGCTGCCTTTACAGTGACGTTATCATCGTATATCACAGCGCCACAAAGCGTCTCCTCGAACAGTTTTGGACGATAATTGTGCTAATAGCGTGCTCCTCGAATGCACCCAGGGTGAATCATTGAAGGTGTTAGAGGTTATGTTTCTGAAACTGAACAAGATATATGAAATTCTTATTTTCCAGCGACTGTTTGATATCGAAGCAAACATTGTGTGACGAAATTAATTTTTTTTATCCGTTTCGATACCAAACAGTTGCTAGAAAATAAGAATTTTATATTTCATTCATTTTCAGAAATATTAGCCTGTAACACCTTTAGTGATTCACCCTGCATATAAATATAATTTTACTGAACTATTATAAGTAGTAATAATATAAATATCAAGTAAGCTTGTATAAATTGGATTTTTTTTATACGTATAGGATAGGACAAAGCACTGGAATTATACCGCGTGCATTCAGTCATTTATTGGACAAATTACGTTTGTTGGAAGCACAAGAATAACACAGTACGAGTTTGCTTTCTCGAGTTATATAATGTAGAATTTGACTAGCTAAATACCTAATAATGGTGTAACTAAAATAAGGTAATATTACTGCATTTTTGCTAAAATATGAAAAAGATTATATTAGAGTGATTATTTTAGGCTCCACTTATGAGGGTGCTACAAGAAAAAGTTCAATGATCATTCATGGATTAGAGGAACAAGTGTACACAATAAAAATGAAATTTACGAGATTCTATAGAAAAAGATAAGAGATAAAGACAAACGGATCTGTGGATTGTAAGATAACACTGCTTACAACACTTTAAACTAAATTTTAAAATAAAGTTTTTTTATTACATCTATGGTTACAGGAGTATTTTGACGAGTTTGAATATA